GACTTTAGCTTACTCAGTAGCACTTGCCTCAATTTCCATTATATACTTTTTCATATTTTTTGTATTATATTCAGTGGATAAGATTACCGTAGTCGATTCAATTCCCGGGAGCGTTGTGGTGTTCGGCTATTCATGCCCAAGAACAATCTTAAGCCTTCCGAGGCGGCACCGGAAAAATCCTGCGGATATCCCTGATAGGGACCCTGACATTAGAATCCTTGGCACTGGAATTCAGCGGCAAGTCCCTGACCCCACCATCCCACCTCGGTTAGCCGCTCCCGGTTCCCCTGCTCCCTTTACTCAGACATCCAAGCCTATGCGCGACTACCGGTGCCGTGCTCGTACTCGCACTCGCGCGGCCGACTTGAAGCCGGACACCTCGTGACAGAAATTGATCTGCAGGCCAATCAAGTAACGAGATTCCCTCGATTCCTGGCCTCCGATTGGCCCGCGGATGACTGAGTTCGCCACAGTGTCCAGCTTCAATTCGGCCGCGCGAGTACTTGTGCCGTAAGAACTCGAATCCGGTAAACGGATCACGTGCTATGTCGTCCAGAACTTCCTCCTCTAGAAAAGGGGCGAGGAGTGGCACCAAAAAGTCTCCGCTCCGAGACAAGTAAAAAAGAAAAAAAACATCACACCTTACCTGTACAACGAGAGGCGCGTCCAACGTCCTAGCACATGGCCCATTTCGTGCCCTTACAATACCGGATAAACTCTTGAAATTCGCCACGGCCAGTCGCCCTCGAGTCCCCCCGACCAGAGACAAAACACACTAAGAAGGAGCAGTGTTAGCTAGACATAGTACGCTGTAGCTCGGGGAGGCTAAGTTTGCTGGATCTCGCTAACTGCTATCCGTCATTTTTTTAACCTACCGTACTCTGCGAAGCCTATTGCGCTTTAGGCCTTGATTTCTGCTGAAATCTCCGATGGCGGATTCCAAGAGTCTCTACTGTACCAGATCCGCCGGGGAGAGACCAAAACACCCCCGATCGAATGGCGTTCATGCACATGATCGCTATTGCATACCGCCAGAATCTAGATTCTATCCCTGACTAGATCTTAGTGTCATGCGGGAGCGGGCGCACCCGTTCCCGGGTGCCCGAGCGCCCAACGGTGTGTGACAGAGTGTTTTAAGATAATCCCCCAAGGCAACTAGGATCAGCTATGCTTGCTTTTACCGGTGTTGGACGTTGTACGATCGCACTTACCGCTATGCGCTTTCTCCCCTCCATCCCTCCCTTCTTTTCTTTTTCTTGGCATGATATCATAGGACAGATGAGATTCATTAGGTTGATCACGGTTACGATTCGTAGTGGGTGTGGGACAGGTTTCCTTATTTCCAGCCCGGGTTAACAGTTGCAGGCAGCGAGGGCTATCCAATCCTTTACGGCCGTACTTCTCGGCCCCCAAACGCAAGGACAGTTCACAGCTCTTATCAAAGTAGTATTGTGGGATAGCTGCGAGGCACAGAAGAGTCTAGCGTAATCCGTAGGTCGCTAGTACCGGTTGGATGGGGATAAACCAGGAAAATCCTAGCCAAGAGCCCTTAGACACTCCACCCCCTGGCACCGTACAGCGCTATATCTAGTAAAAGGGTCCTGCGTGATATTCTCTGGACGTGGTTGTATCGGCCGAATGAATCCCATAGGTACCCCTTCCAACCAATGAAAAATCGCAAAGGGCGCAGTGGATTTGATCTGCTTTGCAAGCGAGAGGCCCATGGTAGCCGCCTATCAGGTGGGACAGTTGATTGGGGGTCTCTCACGGACTGGTTTTGATGTCCTGGGATGGACGGGACGGGATGGCGCTAAAATGGCGGATGCGTTATTGGGAGATCGGAATGTGACTATCAACTACCGGCATCTACTACAGTACATGGATGACGTCTTGGCACATCATACGTTACACCGTATCAGCGACATGCATAGCTGCAGGCTTTTACATCCAGGGCGGGAGATGCCGGTCGATTACGATTACAATCCCGGAACCTAAGTACCGTATTGGTACAAGTACGGTAATCCCGGGCCAAGCAGTCTGAAGGGTAACGTCACTTGTGTAATGTAGGTTGTACGGCGGCAACGTCCTGAAATGAGACGAAAGGGCAAAAGTCCCAAAAGCCAAGACTGTGATTCCGGTGTAGTGAGTGCTCTGCCTGAGGCAGAGACCCTGCTGAGGAACTTGGAGGCGGTAGTGGTACTGTTCGCCGAAGGGAACGTCGCTTAATTAGAGGGACCGAGGCACTAGCTGGAGCGCGTGTTGTTCCTGTCAGAACTTGAATAAACGGACCATGTGCGATGCAGTCCGAAATTTCCTCCTATGGAAAGAGCCACCTAAACACCCCGAATAACAGTTTTCGAGACTGTGAAAAAAAAAAAAAAAAAACTCAAGCTGGGAGATGCAGCTACAACGTCCTAGCACATGGCCAAATTATTCGAGCTTATGGTAGAGAAGTCAACGCTTTTTTTGTAAAAGATTTATGGCCGGTGCCGAGCGGGATTTTGTGGATAATCATAGAGGGTTCGGCTCCATATGTGCGTAGTGTAATATATAGTATTGCACTTAGTCTTGTGGGGCCGATTCGTATCCGTGTTGTTGCAGCTGGCGATAACATCGGGAGAAAATTGGGGACTAACTTCCCCAGCATACTGCAAGCACGCTAACCCCATACCATATATAGCAGTACATCCTGGAATGCACATTCGCTATCATACTTCTACCGATCCATAAGATTCTTTCGGAAACTCCCCTGAACCCCCTCGTACTGGCCTGCAGTTACCTTAGGGAGCTTTAACGGGTCATTAAAGCCACTACGAGGCTCCTCGGGCGGCTGCAAGCTTTATTTTGTGTTGGAAAACTAGGGTGTAAAATTGAGATATTCCGTTCGGATGCGTTTTTGCACCGAGGGCGTCCATTTTCGCCTTCCCCTTACGCGGCGATCGTGCCCGTGAAAACATACTTAAATATATGGCCCGCTATTAAACCAGTAGATATTACATATAACCCGATAGCAAGGACCCATAAAGGTTATATATATAGCCTTGGAGAAAATACAAGCTGAGCAGGAGTGTGTATGATAGTTGCCATGTGGATCTCATGTGGAGTCCTACGTAGAAAATTTTCTCTCCTTGACACTAGCTGGTAGAATAAGTAACAATAAGCCCAACCCCGGATTATTTTATCGGTGGTTGTAGAGGCGGAGCGCGGAGTGAGATCCAAGCCGATGTCAGGGCTCCCATTTTTTTTTTCTTTTTCCCCTTTTTCCATTGGGGCAGTGTCGGGAGTCGCTACATTGAAAACCCCCCGTTTTGCACCCACTCAACCTAAAAATCCGTGTCGGACGAAAAAACTTGGTTGGGAGCTTTAGGTATTGCCGCTACCTGAAAACCCTCGTACCGGTGGGGATGGGGCTGATTCCAGGCTTCGCTTATCGAATGTATATTCGCGCGCGTAAGAGGCCAGGTATTGGTAATTACGACCTTGTGAGATACGGATCCAAGATCCAAGATCTCCGCTAAGGCTGGAGCCTATCGCATCGAGTATATACCCTTTTCTTCTTAGCAGGGATACAGTTAGCTGTCGATGCTCGCACGGGCTGTCATATTGGCTAATAGTTGACAACCGAAATATTGGGTTGTTCAATCCCCGTAGTGTATAATAGTCTCCAAGCTGCATCTATCAGACTCTAGCTGAGTCAGATAATCTCGCATACAAGAGCGAACCTAGGACCTTAACAAGCGCTAAACTGGCTTATTTTCCACTCACGGAGGTACGGCTCTTAAGTTTTGTATATCTTACTAGAAACGGGTGCTCGACTAGCGTGGGTATCGGCCGAGAATCGCGTAATTTTCAGAAAAAGCTGCCAGCTCCATGGTGAAATTTTCTCAATTCGCGTCAGGTACCCCTGCTAGCTGGGAACATTTACCGGTAAAATATACAAAACTTAGGAGCTGTGCCTCTGTAAGAAAAGGCACGGAAGATGCCAAAACGAACGCACCAATAGTGCTGTGCTTCTCTCAAAATCGTTTAGCTGGGTGAGGTATAGGGTTCTAATAAACCGAAAAGCGAAATCTGCGTAGTTACCCCCTATAGGTAAAATTTTGGGGCGGATTACTTCACCGGATAAATAGTGGGAGGGTGGCGGAGGTCGCACCTCTGAGTGAAAAATTATTGTGCACTTATCTCTATCAATGCCGGCCTCACCCTGGACAAATGGTTTAAATGATTGGGATTACTTGTACAAATCGGAACGGAAAAGAAAAGGGGAGGAAAGAGGGGGGTGGAGAACGGTCATGCCAACCACGCGAAAAATGGTATCACTTCCTCTGAGGGAGTTGCCTTCCTGTGTTGGATTGGTGAGGGTAGCCACGGGGCGCAGGATCGGGATCTGGAAGGATGAGAATAGGTTTACCGCATGAGGAACCGTGCAGGTGGGGGAGATACCGTTTGGATGTTCTTAAATAGAGGAAACTAAAATGGAGGAAAAAAGAGCAAAGTTGGAAACAAAGGAACGGGGAAACAAAGGTGATCCGGCGGGGAAACAAACTTACACAAGCTGATGTGAGGAAATACGGTAAGGATGTGCAGGCACAGATTCCGACATCCCAATTCCCGGGATGGGTTAGATTATCCCTTCCTAATTCGGGCAACGCTGATCGCTAATACCCTTCCCCCCCCTCTCCACGTTCTCTCCTGCTGCGGCCTGTAATACAATAGTTTTGGCGTCTTAGGAGAGCTTCTTCTAGTAAGGCCAGGTTGGAGGGAATGGCTGCTTATGTACGAGGACCACATAGCAATATTTGACTTTCCCTCAACTACCCTAGCCTAGACAATATTAACATGTCTGATAAACCTGATAATCAGAGGGCCAGGCTTCTAGAAGCTACCAGGAGGGGGGGTATTTAGCCTATTGGCAGGTCTAGAAGTTTGTCTGATTTCAAACCCTCCAGGACTAGGCCGTTCGATAGAACCGATTTTTTTACAATATCAGAATCATATTCATGTTTGGTGCAGGGCCGGGAGTCTCCCGGGAAAGAGCGGACAGGTAGGTCCTTCATTCCTTCTGGGTGTTTTGTCCCGCTTTTGATATTTTTCTTGGGCTTTTTGTTTCCAATATTACTTTATTCTCTACTGACTGCATCTACCCGACTCCGAGATCTCTAGACCATCACTATCCCGAGACCGCTTAAAAATCCCACAGGAGCAAAACCGGGAGCCCGTTTCCGCTTTGTTTCAGTTAGTTTCGACAGACGCCGCCGGGACTGTCGAGCCACTTCCTACAGATCTTGGGCCACTTCCGCTTTATCGACTCGACGATGGTTTCTACTCTGTTCTCGACCCTTCCCTTAATCGTGCGACTCCATGCGCGAACCAATCTCCCCACCATATTGCCAATGGCACATTTGAGAACAACACCATTCTCTCAGCCACCTTAACACCGGCCAGAATTATTATTTTTTGTGGGGCAATTAGATGTCCGGGAGCTAGGTTAGCACCCGTTACATTGCTAATTTATCTCCACATTAGCTCATTCAAGGGAATCAAAACAGCGGCCCACACAGTTGCTTAGATCGCTCATTCATTTGCAACGCTCGAAATTGCCACTGGACAAATCCATTTAAGACTAAGCAGGGGTTCAATAGACACTACGAGGCCGTTCATCTCGCTGAGAGAGTTGATTGTCCCATACCCGGATGCGAGAATGTTGGCGAAAGGGGAATCAAAAGATACGATAACCTGGCTGCTCATTTAAGAACCAAGCATGGCATATGAGCGGCTGGTAGATCGCATGGGAATTAGATGGGTGACAAGCGGGCTGACCAAATACAACCTTTTGCTCCAATGAGGCGGCAATCCTGCTACGCCTAAAGAGTGTTGGGGGTCATTAGAAGGAGAGAAATGTGAGCGGGGAGTTGGGGTTCTTAGTGCTTGTTGAGTGATGGGATGTTGTTGATTATTGGGGAAGGAGGGGGGAGAAAGAAGAGAATGACATCCAAGCAATGTCGTGTGGGGCGACAAGTCATCGCTCGTGATGATACATAGTTGCTTAGTAAGCAATTTAGATGCAAACGGGAAGCGCTGTCTACGGGGACATGTGAACCTTTATCACATCTTCCTTCTAATATTGGGGGATCGGCTAGGAGGTGTTTGGCAGACGCGATTGCGGCTACAGACCGTAATTTCTCAAATTTAAATCACATGTCCAAACCTAAAATCAGATATCTCTAAGATCTCGATTTGAAATCGCATCTCGCCAAGTGCTCCCCCAAATATAGTTTTAGTCTAAACAGGAATCTGTGCGACTTCCCCTCCACACCCTATTTTAACTTATTCGCGCCCGACTTAGCCAATTCATGTTCTATTTAACACACGCCAGTCTCCTGGAAGAGACCAAACAAAAACCGTCGAATTAGTTTTTCTGTCATGGCGCCGTAGCGGTTTAATCGCTCTGATGTTTTCCACATGACCCTACATGGGTGGTTTCCAAACATGAAAACCAAACCCCAAACCGGGACACCTTCTCATACTATCATGATTTGGGGTCGGATTGTCTAAGGGCCTGTTTGATAAAAAAGGAAGAAGTGGCAACCATTCCGTTGCGAAATGGTTTGACTGGTGGAAAAGGTCGTTGCTGACGGTCAACCATTGAAACAGAAGGGTTGATAGCAGGTGTGCCAAACGGCCCTTTGGAAACAACCCTTTTGAAAAGGAAGGAAATGGTCATTCGCACGGGCCAACGGAACGGAACCATTTTCATCCAAACAGGCCCTAAACACCCGGCGATTTGAGATCGCGATTTCATCCCCAATCTCGAACCGAAATCGCAAGCGCGTCTGCCGAACGCCTCCTCGGTTGTCTCCCCTATCCTGAGTACTTATCGACCAGCCCTTGATGGAACATCGCTGTATCTACCCACTAGGAGCACCGCGATTGATTGGGGCTCAAATCGTCACCCCCATCACGGCCTTCAACATCGAGAGGTCTTTTCTTCATACAAAATTCGTGGCTTCCTCCCGCACTTTTTCCTAGGATTTGGAAGGAACTGCTTTCCGGAATCGTTACAATCCCACGCACATACGTTGCCACGAAACGCTATGCGGGAACTCCACAAATCCCGAAGATGGTTCGCCGATTGGTACAAGAAAACGATGGGGGAATCAGACAAGTGGGAGAAACTGCCCCCTGTTTGGGGAAATAAACGGTGACTGCGAATCTATGCCCAAACACGGGAGGCACTTATTTGAGGGGGCATATATATAGCCTACAGCGCCGACATTCTTTCAGTGGACCAGGGAAACACCAACCAGTAGAGGGTGGCTGGGCTGTGCAGCGGAGGGTAAAACTGTGAACCTGCGCAATAGCAACATTAAAAGCATTAAATAACCTCTCCCTGTTTCTTCCTTTTCCTTTAGTCTCTATTCCGCCATCCCTAGGCTCCCCCACATTCTCTGCGTATCGGGTATCATAGTTCTTCTTAGACTTATACTTCGCACCAACTCCCTGATTCTGCCAACTGCCAGTATTTCCTCTGCCCCCAGCCAACCCCACAAGCTCCCACCACAGCTCTGCGTCCCGGACACCGGAGCTGCCCCTCCGCCGCAAATTCGCTCGGGAGTCAAAAGAGGAGACACCGTCTAAACCAACGACTAAACTTTTATTTTACCTCACTAATGCGCAATACTTCTAAGCTGGGGCTCCGGGTGTACTCGAGTAGTTCTCCCCGGCGTGGCCATTCCAGTTATGCCAGGCGACAGTTTTCTCGGCAGACAACCAAGGGAATTACTTGTGACCTCCCGCCCTACGAATCCGGAAACAGTCAACGACGCCTTGCCTTGATGAAGCCCACCGAGATCACCACGGCCGACCATGGGGGGTGTTTGGCGTGCACCTCCTGCCCTCCCGCTTCGTGATCATCCTGGTACTGAGGAAAGGCGGGAGTCGTGTCTCAATCAATTTTGTAGGTGGATGTTTCCTTAGTGGAGTTGTTAGTATTTCGGAGAATTTCTATTTGTTGCGCTAACTTGACGACCAAGGGTAGGAGATACTGGTGATAACTATCTTGGGTATACCCTTTTTTGCACTAAATCCTGAGTTCTGGTTTTTGGCGGAAATTCTGCAGCGGGGGGATTTGAGCAAAAATCATATACAGATGATTCGCTTCTGTGTCCGCCAGATGGCTGAACTGGGCGCGGCGAGGAGGAGAGAAATCACGGTGTGGACGGAGACCGAAGGAGAAGAGGATTCATTATTGTCTTCCTACGGAAGCTCTGAAAGAAGACTAAATGTAGCAAAGAGAGGAAGCCACCACTAACAGTGCTGGTTTCCCTAACAATACACAAGACAGTCACATCAACAGCCAGGAGCCCACATCCCTAACACATACTACTATGCTCCCCATACATCTCATGACCAACACTATACGTTCTCCCCCATATCCTGCTATTGGGGTCATGCCATCACGGCCCTCTTCCCGGCCCATTATACTACCGTAGGTCCGTGGGAGAATGCGGCTACTACAATACAGAGAACTTAAATAATATACGTATGGATACCGGTACTTATCGTAGGTCGGAGAGACGCAGGTAGCTCCGATTCTTGCTACGATGATTGAGTTAAAACCACAAAAACCTACACTCTGAAGTGTAAAAAAAAAAAATTAAAAAAAAAACTACAAATCTCACCAACCACCTTTCGAAACCCCCTCTCAATCCCGGCATACACCTAGTCACCCCCTTTATTCCCCAAACACCCAGCAGTAAACTCCACATGCGCCCTGGCGACCGTCAGCAAAACCTCTCTGGCCTTGTCCAACCCGCCCAAAGCCTCCGCTCCACGAATCCCCACAGAGGCCGATATAATACCCCCCGCTTCACTCCCGACATTCAACCCCTCAAGACCCCCAGCCCCCTGCCTCCTCAACCACAAAAAGTACTGGCTGACCTTCAAGTACCTCCTCACGTAAAACTCCGCCTTCTCCTCATCAGTGCACCTAGCGTTCAGCTCAAGATACATCTCGAGCGGGCGTCCACCCGCCAAAGTTTCAAGCCTCGCCACCTCCGCCGTAATTTCCTCGACTTCGGGAACGCATGCGAGGAGGAGGAGCCAGAAGTGGAAGAGTTTTCGGAGGAAGACTTTGGACTGCTGCGGGGTTAGGGGCGAACCGAGGATATCCGCATGGATTTGTAGGCAGGAGGATAGGGTGTCCCAGTTTTCTTGATCGGCTTCGGGGATGGAAAGTGATCGCGGTGGGGGGGTGGTCACATCACATGTCGGGAATGGGAGGGAACCGCCCTGGGGGTTATGGTAGAGGTAGTCTTGGCAGTTAGCGAGAGTCCTGGAGAGGGTTTGGAGTGCACGGCCGCGTTCAGTGGTTTGGATGTCATAGAAAATCAAAGGGAGGTGGGGTTTCAGCCCTTCCAGGGCAGTGAGGTTGTGGGTTGCCATGTATTCTTTTGCAGCTGCTGCAGTGGCGAATGATTTTAAAATGGAGACAATGAAGGGGATTGGAAGGGAAGAGACGGGAGGGCGCATTATCTCCCGAGCCTCCTGCGACATTTTTGCGGAGCCTGTTTTTTTCTGCGGGGTTTTCTTTTTGTCTTTGATTCCTGTTGCAGCGCTGTGGGACTGGAGGTAACTCAAAGGAGGCCTCCGTCAGTTAGGATTTATAGCTGTAAAGGGAGGGCATCGCAGACTATCTCTAGTACAGCCCATCTGCAAGTGAGACAGGAACACTAAGGACCTTTTCTCCCTTTGAAAATTAGTTCAAGAGGAATCAAAATTTGCCTCTGGTTCCTTTTGGTAGTGGTTTTTTAGGAGATGCTAGGGAAGTTGAAAAAAGTTGAAATCAGTAGAAATGACACCTGAATGCAGATATACCCCACAATTGTATTTCGAAATTCCACCCAAACGTAGGCTCTCGTACCCAAAGAATCAAGGAGTCTTGTCGCAGGTTCTACAGGGTCGGTGTGGTGGGCCAAATTCTTGGAGGGGGGGGGGGAAACCCTAACCCTGGAAACTTTGGCCCCGGAGAGCCAAAAGCACACAAAGGAAGTGCTCACGTGTGCTACCGTCTCCCAGAAGCACGGGGCCCCATGGGGTATCCTTCTCAGGCGATGGCAGATAAGGCCCCGTGTTTTCGCCACGGGAAAGCTATGGTACCAGCAGTCAGCCCGAGGAACTCTTCTCAACTAACGACACCGCCTGATCACAAGACATTTATCTTAGGGACCCGTAGGAAGATCCCCTCAACATCGGAAATCGCTCGGCGAACCTAGCACCTTACTTACCGCCCCACCCCGGTCGATGATCCAGTGGTGATCGGGGGCAACTGGAAAAAAGAAAAGGGAAGAGAACTGGCGGACCCTCCGTTCATGTGGAACCCCCTTTCATCTATCTATCTCTGTTGATAACGAGACCTCAAACTACCCCTGTTCTCGGATTTACCCCCGAAGTAGGCTATGATACTAGTACTGTTTATTGAACCCCAACTTTCCTCACCCCGGAAACCATAACGTCGAACCTTTCTCGTAGCTATAAGAGAGCTGAGTTCGGGGGCCCTAATGATGAAAGCCTGCGGATGGTAATAGAGGGATGGCCAACTCACATCTCCCTTCCGCCTTCCAAGCAGACCTTCCCTACCGGCCCTGCCGCATCGCCTGAAGCAATGAATCCGCCTAATAATATTTGGTAATCCAGCCGCAACTAGCAGGGAAGTCAGCAACTCCAATAGGGACGTTCCGGAAGGCGAGGATGTGGGAAAGGAGATACTACGGTAGATCGAGAGGCTCTTCTCAGCTTAGGGGATGGAAATTAGTCACACCCCTGGGGGGGTCGGTACAGTCAGTGCATGTTTTTGGGCTTCCCGCAATCTCACGGAAGTGGTCGACTGTCGCAAGTTCTTCTCTCTACTAGGCTTCTTGCATTTGGCCTGATGGGTCCTTTCTGAGAATTAATTCCCTTCCGGAGAATAGGAGATACATGTTGGTGAAAAGTACGAAAAGCGCATTACGTGAATAGCCAAGTTGCCTAACTTTCGATATTCAAATCACCGTCTTAGATCATCGCCTATATATAGTGGCTTGCTAGCTATACGGACATCCGGTTTCCTACCCCGAAAGTCTATCACCGTGAACTCCCTGGAAAGTCGTGTTTCGGTAAATTCGATTTTCGGTTCCATGCTACTACTACAAAACTGAGAACAAAGGTTTCTG